GGCTTTTGTTAGGTCACTGGTCCTGCTGATGTGCTGGAGGGGAAAGTGGGTCTAGATCTATCTAGGAGGTGGGCTGCTCTCCTGGGTTGACAGGAAACCATCCCTCCCAAACACACTGTAAGAAACAGTCTGCTATAGATAAAGGGAATGCCTGAGGCTCTGAGGAATCTCTGTAAAAAGTAAAAGCAAGGAAAGTACCTCACTGGCATGAGAAGTTTCTTCTTCACAGTTGTCACTTTACTTCCCATGATAGCAGCTGGGCACATCTCAGTGCTCTGCTCCTGGTCAGGCCCCAGTGCAGATTCTGTGTCCCATCACCATCCAGTTCTGGGTGAGGAGCCACCAGGAGGCCTACCTGATGAGCCCACAGCTATGGACTCATGTGGACACGGACACACACACACACACACACACACACACACACAACATATTTCTACAGCAAGGAAGGGTAGAGGACAGAGCCTCTGACTGAAGACAAACAGCATTTCTATGGACATGGTCCAGTACAGGATTCCATTTATGAATCATTCATTCATTCATTCATTCAAGCAACAAATACTGTGAGTCCACTAGACGCCACACACTGCAAAGTGCTGACTTTGCCCATCACTGAACTAGGCATCAGGCAAACTAAATACAGTTTGCCTGCTCTCTCTGCCGTCCAACCTAGCTGAGGAGAGAAAGCCAAGCACTAGTGATTTTCAAAACAAGTTGAAATGAGTAGTGAATTGTATGGATAGATCTTAACCACTGTTTGACTTCACAGGTCAGGGAGAGAAGCAGCACCCCCATCTTATGGGGGCTGATGATTTCAAACAGACAACACCAGTTAGGACCCTGATTGACACACCTGAACGATATGAGGGATTAGAACCAGTGAGATCCTCACATATGAAGCTGTCACTAACAAATCAATGATGCTACAGCCCTGTGTCAAGCATCCATCACATGCTGGGCACCGTACTAGTAATGAGGACCTGTGAACATGAGTCCCCATCCTGCAGGCAGGAAACCATTCACGTATAAATCAGTTAACACTGGGCGGCCACGGGCCAGGATCTGGGAACTAAAGAAGGGGCCCTAAGAGCTTAAGGACTGAATCACAATTTTTGTTTTCACAATATTGGCTGTGTGAGAGGCTGGGAAGAAATATATGGATGATGTGAAAATAAAAAACTTGACATATATAGCTCAGGACTGAAGGCTTCTGTGTGTTTGCTAATCAATGTCTCCTTTCTCAATCTGCATAATTTTATCACCAGTGAAGAAAGTTTGTACGCAGTGATATATCAGAAGCAAGATTCTGATAGTCCTAGAGATGGCATCAGACCTCTGTAAGTCCGTGATTCAGTGGCCAGATACAGAAATAGTTAGGGAACAAGCTTCCGGGCTCAAACCGAAAGTGAAGAATCTCTCTGAAATATTCTAAACAATCTTCATAGATTGAAAATGACAAATTTCATCAAGGAGAGTCCGTTTCTAGCATCTATTATGCTGATGAACAAATTACTAATTTCACCAATGAAAACCTCTGGAAATGTTAATTAGCAGCATCTGGTGTGGATCACAAATACGGATACTAATTGAGGCAACTGCAGTCCTTATCTCTGGAGTGTGGCCTTTCCGATAAAATGCTAGATGATCACCTCGAAGTGTGAGTTCCTGATTAGGGAATTGACAGCCCCTAGAGTGTAGATTAAAAACAGACACATTTCTATCACATTCTCTCTACTAAAGCATTTTAAAGAAAATTACAGACATTATCATGCTGCCCACATGAAGATCTGGTTCATCTGTGTTCTAAGTATAGCTAAGCCGGGGGAAAAGGAACATGAGATACATTTTCTAAGGAAGACATTCTATCCCAGGCGGTAAAAAACCCCGTTGTTGTTTTCTATCTCAGTGTAGCTTATTTCATAACTGTTTGGTGGAAGGTTTCCAGAGTCCTTCCAGGTTTTGTGTGCACAGCACAGTCATGCTAGGTTTTGAGGAAGAAGGGTGGAGAGCCAGGGTGCCCCAGGAAAACAGGACAGGTGACACTAAATCTTCAGCCTTGACCATCCTTCCCAGAAACAGAGGGGATTTTTTAAACACCACAGAGTGGGACTTGGGAGCGGGTCCAGTTACTCTCCCTTCTTTGCAGACCTGATTCCCAACTAGGTTCTGGCCTTAACTTTATCCCACTGCTCTGCAACCTGCCCTGAAATGTTAACCCCCGCCCCTGCTCCTCTCTCCAGTGTGTGAGATACATTGATAGCATCACTGCCTTTCCTCCTCCACCCAGTACTGAAAACTTCACTTCATTAATCTCACAAATAAAGGTATAAGCAAACTCAAAGCACGTGCCTATCATTTGAAATTGGGTGCAAAACCCTCCTTCAGATGAAATGCATTAATTAGCTGGGCACTGTTCCTGGAATCAAGCAGAAAGACAAAGCAGTCCCCCAAGGGAGCTTGCTGACCATGGGAAGCAGACTGGAGAAGGGGTCACATGATTTTTCCAGGGGGAGGGTTCCTCTTTGGAGGCCAGGATTTGGAGAGATAGCCATTACCAACCAGGGGAGTGTGGCTGATGAAATTAAGGAAGGCGGTTTTTAAATTCAATTACACCCTCAGTGGAAATGGTCTCACTAACGCTTGGGGAAAGAATTATACCCAGTCCATAAAGCCTAACATTTCTAAACCCAATTTTGTGAATTATTCTAAAGGTTAATTCAAGATCCTTCTTCCAAATGAGAAGTCAAATATAGCCAATGGAAGGAAGGCATCTGCTGACTGACTGAGGGGTTTATCAGTTTGTAAGAGTTCATTAGTTTTAATTAGTGTAATCACTAATGTTGCATTAACAGTTTAGTGAAGGAAAGTAATTACTCACACATCCACTGTATCAGATGCGAAGATTAGAATTCATTTTCCAAAACGATTAGCATTTTGCCAATTAAAAGAATCCCTTCTCCCTGCCAGCAGCCCTGTGACCTCGCTCACCCGAAGATTGTTTAAATGAAAGGTATTTTGCATCAGTAGATGGAGCAGGAAGAAATGAAGAATTAAGGCTGTGTTTATTCTTGGCGCCTTCTTGGGGCACAGCAAGCGCAGGAGTCTCGAGGAGTTTATAATGTCTCGCTTTATTTGAATATCATTCACTTGTCACTTGGGATTAAACTACTGGCTGCTCTGTTACCCTGTAGAAATTAAAAAACAGAAAGGCCAGTGGAAGATGAGGCCAAAAGGAAGCAAGGAGGAGAGTCTGGGTGGAATGACCATGGCAAGGGTCCAAAGTGCCACGACTTTGGACAAGTGCCAGGACTCACTGTGGCCCCATCCTGAGTGCCAGCTGGAATCAGCTCCCCTGGTGGGCTTGGGGCATCGTGCTGCCCACAGGAGCCCCTAAAGTATGAAGCTGTGTCTCTTAGGCCCTCTTACTGATTGCCCCTGGTCGCTGGGGTCACCTCCCTGCCTCAGCTGGGCTTCCAAGACTGGCGATCGGGTCCGACTGCTCTCCAGCACCACGGCCAGCTCCTGCCACCTCTGCCAGGTTCTCTAGCAACAGCCACTTGGAACATCTCATTTCTTAAGCATCTCATGTTCTTCCAGACCCAGCTGCTTAGAACCCTAAATTCACCCCACTGGCAAGCCTTTCGCCTATTTCGTTAGAGCACTGACCCTTCCTGCTTCGCCCAGTGTAAATGTCACTTCACGTTGACTAGAATAACTCCCGCCCCCACTGGACTCACAGAGCCCCTACTGCATACTGCGTGCTTGCATCGTGTTGTATCATCCAGAATCATGGCGAGGTACTGAGACAGGAACAGGGATCGTACGTACGTACTCTGTTCACGCTGAGGCAGTGCACGTGTCAGGTTGTGTATACATTTTTTTTGAATGGCTTAATGATCGTGGGCATAGATCAGCCCTCCCTGCCTCTCCATCAGCCTCATCAGAGCTCAAGCTAGGAGGCCCAGCCTGGTCAGATCGGTGAACATCACAAAGGAGGAAACTGAGATGTCTCCACACAGGTGCATCTCCTGGGCTTCCTTCTAGTACATCTCTGATTGGGTTTAGCCTGGTGGTGAGCGCCTGGCAAGGGGTTCTGGAACGGTGAGCCTAAAACAGGACAGATGTGTGCCTGGTGGGGCGAAGTCCTAGGAGTCACAGGTGCGGCTCCCTCCCTGGGGACTGTGGTCCAGCTGCACACAATCAGCTCTGTGTCCCATGGTGCCAGGAGAAGGGCACCCCAGAGAGCACAGCCCCTAGCAGGGCTGAGAGGACAAATGGGGATTTCCCGAAATTATATTTGTTCTAAAAATAATAGAAATGATAACATAGGGGGGGAATCAATTGACCTCCAGTGCCTGCACAAAAATAACAACGTTATCAAAAAAGAAAAAAAATTGATTTTTTTGTTCTTTATGACTAATGGCCATCATAACGCACGTTATTAGAAGAGGAAAATCACCTATTTGTTTGAGTATTTCATTAAAGAATCAGAAAGGCATAAAAAGCGCATTTTTGTGGACTGTTTTCAGAATCTCAACCACCCAAGGATCCACTATGTCCTTTTTTTTTTTTTTTGGTACTAATATATTTGGAAAATCTCTTCTTTCAGGAGGAATCTTTTGAAGGAGCTTCTATTTTTAATTGGGTAAATTTAGATCCTATACTAAAATGAAATGACATGGAGAAGACAGAATGTTTCAGCATCTAAATCTGGCAAAACATTCAAAACAAGGAATTCTGTCTCATAAAAATATTTGTCAAAACAGGTAATAGCAAGTGTTGACAAGTATGTGGAAAAATCGGAACTCTCTTACGTGGCTGATGGGAATGTAAAATGGTGCTGCCATTTTGGAAAACAGTCTGGAAGTTCTAATTTTTTTTTTTTTAAGAAATAAAGCTTTCTCTGCCTATAGTGGAGAGTCTGCTTCCCACACTCTGAACACTGGAGGAGTCTCAGCCAGGCTGATTGCAGGGCCACTAACATTCTTCTCTTTCTCCTACAGTATGTGTCCAGCCGACGCGCCATCACTCAGAGTGCCCCAGAGCCAGGCAGCTTCCCCCCTCACCACGGCCCCCACCACCACCGCCATCACCGCCCCCACCACCACCTCCGCCACCACGCCCGCCCCCACCACCTCCACCACCAGGAGGCAGGGCTGCATGCCGCCCGGGTGATGCCCTGCATGTGCCCCTTGTTCTCCTGCCAGTGGGAAGGCCACCTGGAGGTGGTGGTGCCCCATCTGCGGCAGATGCACAGAGTGGACATACTTCAGGGAGCCGAGATCGTCTTCCTGGCCACAGACATGCACCTCCCGGCACCAGCCGACTGGATCATCATGCACTCCTGCCTCGGCCACCACTTTCTGCTGGTGCTTAGGAAACAGGAGAGGCATGCAGGGCACCCCCAGTTCTTTGCCACCATGATGCTGATTGGGACACCCACCCAGGCCGACTGCTTCACCTATCGCCTGGAGCTCAACAGAAATCACAGGCGTCTCAAATGGGAGGCCACCCCCCGGTCTGTCCTGGAGTGCGTGGACTCGGTGATCACTGACGGGGACTGCCTGGTCCTCAACACCTCGCTGGCCCAGCTCTTCTCTGACAACGGCAGCCTTGCTATCGGAATTGCTATCACTGCGGCAACCGAGGTCTGCTCCTCAGAAGCTGAGATGTGAAGCAAGGGGCCACTGGACGCTCACATGCAGCCACCCCTCCACCAAGAGACTGCCTGTGCCCCTCGGATCTCCGAATGCCAGGGCTACAGGCTCCTTTTTATTCTCCTCCCACCTCCCCTCCTTTCTTCCTTTCTTTTTTGTCTCAGGTACTTTGTGGTATTTAGTATTTGTCTGCCATGGGCATTATATTATGTAAACATCCTGTGATTCAAGATCTTGGTGTGGTGTTTGTCCTGATTTGTTGGTACAGTTTTTTAGAACATTTTAAATCAGACTCAATCGGAATGGTTCTTTCTGGCCACCCCCAATTCCCTCCTCCGCTGCTTTTAAAATGAACAAAAGTCACCAAGGTCACGAAGCAGACTCTTAGGGTTGAAAGGAGACTTAGTGTCCAAATCATTTTTTCCTTCCCTTTTCAATCTGTTTCAGAGTTCACTAATTCTGAGATACATGCAGATAGCAGATCAGGGCAGGGGACCCCACCAACTCAGAGATAAATATTTCAGACCAACTAGACACAACTCTGCCACCTTCCTAGGAACCTCAGGGGGCCACACTGCTTGGACAGGAGGAGATGGCATCTCCTCCGAAGGCCAGGGCACTGGGCTGGAGGCACGATGCGTCCTCTGGGTTGATCCCGGGGACTCCGGGGAGCAGGCAGATGTTGAACCCTCCTTTGGTGGACTGCTGTGAGCTGGTGCTCAGCCAGGGCCATCTTTTCCTGCTCTGAAATCAAAGTCTCCAAGGGTTTGGTGCTTTCCTGAAAAACTCCTTGCCCTCCACTGAGCAAGTCATAGAAAAGGATGAGCAACATGTAGGAGAAGAGAAGCAGCTGAAAATGCAACGGATAAAATTCATCTCCCACCTCTGGGAGGGCGTTCTCTCCTGAGACAGTTTTATTATCAAGTTATAAAATCCATCAATCCTTTCCCTAGGGTGGAGCACTTGTGTATCGTGCAAAGAACCCTCTGTGCTCTTGATAGTTCATAAACCAGAACCAGGATTCAGCAGCATCAAATACAAGCAACTTGGAGGGTGCACCCAGGTCCTCTGACCAGGAGGGCGTGGCCCCATCCCTCATACACCTGGGAGGGTCCTCTTGCCTTTCCTGCTTCTAAAATGCTCCGTGGGCCTCATTCAGCACACAAACGCTGTCACTGTTCAAGTAGGCATCCAGCACCCTGCTGCAGCAGGAATGAAAAGTCCACGAAAATCCATCTTGCCTTTAGGTAGACAGCTCTCTCCTCCTCGGCTGTCAGAACAATCCGCCGACCTCTTCTTGCGGAAGTCTCTTGTGGTTTTGAATCAAGGAAGCACATTTAGTCAACTTCATCTCTTCTGATGGGAGCTGAGTACATGGAAGACTCCCCAGGAGGCCCTCTCCTCCCTTCTTTTTGTCGTTTTCGTTCTCGCCTGGCCTCTCTCCAGTCGCAGCACAAGCACAGCACCTAGACCCCACACAACGCTCGCTGGCGGGCTTCTCGCCAAGCAGACATCACTCGCAGCCCCGTCCCCTCACCTCAGCCATCTCGGTCGGATCCTGGCAGGCCTCCCGATGAGTACTTAGTTTCAGGCAGCTTGCCCTGGCTGGCCATTAGCAATCTTTTCTCGGCCAAAAATAATTCATCCTGGAACGCAACACCCCTCCCCCCGCAACCAACCAGATAATCCTGTAGCCGCCTGTGTGGTCAACCTCCAGCTCAGGCTCCAGAAGGGCGATGCCTGGCAATAGATTTCATACCACAGTCCCCTCGAGTTCCACAGTAATTGCTGGGACCCTGGGGCTGAGGTTTTGTTTTGTTAGAGCCTTAAGCGGGCCGATAACCATCCTATCACTGACTGAGGTTAATGCCAGGTTCGTGGTCCCAAGAAAAGAGCTGTAACCTCCTTTCTCTTAGCACAGTCAGAACATCCTACCAGGGCACCAGCTCCCCTTGCCTTGAACCACACGGACAGTCCAGGAAGAAGCTGAGGCTGGCTGGCAAGTTCAGGCAGAGACTGGCTCACGGGGCTTCTTACTTCCCCACAGGCCCTTCCCCAGAACCTAAGACCCCCTTGGCTGCAAGTCCGATACCTCCGGATGCCGCATCCTTCCCCTGACTCCTGACACTTAATCACTTTGAAAACGTTTGTGTAGCATCACAGGTGCCCAGATAAACAAACAAAACCTCAGTAAGAATACAGTTACTGTCCTCCGGGCCTCAGTGCCTCCACAAACATCACCTCTGCCTTCTTGTCGTGCCAAGTTACGTAGGCCAAACTGAGAATAACTTCAGGTTATTATTAGTGCCCACGAGGCTGCATTATGTATGTGATCTCAGATAGGAAATGACATCCCTGGTTCCTAGAACCCTTCAGAGAAAAGAGTAAAGACGTGTTATTTTCATCCATCTCTGATGCTCCCAAGAAGGCCTTCCTCTCTATAGCCACATGTGAAGAAGAAAGAGCAAACTTTAATCAATGAACAGGGACTAGAAAATGGTACCAACCAAGTGTGCTATGTTGCACTCTATGGCCACAAAAGGCGCCCCCATTTGAGCCTTGGGGGAATCCTCATCAGCATCCTCAATATTCTAAAAAAAGAGAAGTTCAGAGACATGAAATGACCCTCCCAACATCACAGCCAAGTGGCTGCAACCACAACTTGGACCTGGCCCACCGACTGCAAATGTGCTGTTCTTGCCATGGGAAGACAGACCCAAGCATGTTCCCACCTCATCAGAAGACTGTGGGCCTCAGGGTCCGCTGGGTCTTGGCTCAGGGACATCACGGGGAGCAGGGAGAGAGTCTGAAGTGGCTTTGTTTTTAAAGGCATCTCAGCTTGAAGAACTGATCAAACTGGAAGCAGGGGTTGGGCTATGGGGGAACGACGGGAGTGGGGTCTTCAGTGGCCCATGGCCAGTTCCTCATTCTCAGATTCCCAGGAGCCTGCTCAGTGCAGAGTCCTGGAATCTGCCTCGTGCACACCCAAGGACTGATTTAATGCTCTCCTCTAAGGAGCACAGTCAGCCCTCAGTATCAGCAGGGGGTTGGGTCCAGGATACCGCCACCCGCTCACTGCGGATACCAAAATCCAAAGGTGCTCAAAGTCCTTATATAAAATAGCATAGTAAAGTCAGAACCCAAGGATGTGAAAGGTCAACTGTATTTGCATTTTAAAAGCAGGCCAGGGGAGACTGCAGATCTTCACAGCAAGAAATGAGTTACCAGCATGGGAACTTCAGGCAGGAGAGAAGAAGGCACAAACTAAAAACAATTAACAATGGAGAGAAGGGCATTCCTGCCCCTGAAGCGGAGCCTGCAGAAACGGTCAGGGCAGAAGTGGAGGACAGAGAAGACTGCCGTTAACAATCCTTCTCTGCAGGAACTTGCATCTGGGATAGATTCCATCACTGCCTGTGGCTATTGCAGATGCTTTAGAAGTGGACCAGGTTAATAATACTACTACTACTCATGGCTCCCACTTACTGAGTTGACTATGTGACCCAGTGGGCTAAGTGCTTTGAGTATATCATCTCTTTTAATCCCCATAACAATCTTATGAAAAGGTACCATTATTTCACCCATGAGAAACTGAAGCTAAGAGAGGTTAGACACCGTTCAAGGTCACACAGCTAGCGAATGGTAGAGCTGGGTCTGGAATTCAGTGTGTCTTGCTCCAAAGTCCAGGCTTCTGACCAAAATCAACTATGTCACTTCTAGGAATTCATGGACCCAAGGCTTAGAAGGACCCGTTAATAAGTCTGAATGACATAGAGGCCTTTTAGTGCTTCAGTATTAAATGTGCCCTTTCATTTCTCCTTTTTTCTCCTTCTTTTCCCAGCCCAAGACAGAGTGGTATGCTAGAGCTAGCTTGTGTAATGGCTGTTAAATTTTTTAGGAATTTTACAAAGTGATTGTTAAGCACGGCCACTATCAAAAATTAAATGATATAAATTTTACAATCAAATGTTATATTAAAAACAAAGGTAATAAATACTCAAAACTCATCATATCCTAATTATTTCACTGCTCTTTCATTTTCTATGCTCTTGAGATTATTCACCTCTCTCTAACCTATGTGTGTGGTGAACATACTGTATAATGATGTGCCACCAACTCCGTGTTTGGTGACTTCATGGCGATAGCTTAGAACTGGTCACGGAGGCAGTGTTCACACCATGGAAACCGGTAGTGCTCTAAGCCAGGGTGTTTCCCACTTGGAGAACTAGTTGTTCACCATTTACCAGTACACCACTGCCTGGACAGTTCAGATGCACACAGTACGGTGGGGGGAGGGGACTTTGGAAGGAGAAACAAGCTCCTGGTGGCCACACTGACAGGGATAGAGATGACAGCCAAGCCAGCCAAACAGCAAATTACTGGGGAAATGCAAACTATTCTGGAGAAGGAAGTCTGAGGCTTCTAAGCATCTTCAAGGACATTCCCTGTCCTGATCCAGATCCTTCCCTATTGCTATTAGTGTGGGAAATTCTATCTGACAACTTTCATAGAAAAATTATGGCTCCCCAAAACCAGCCTATTGGTAATCCCAACCCCAAAAGTAAGACAAAACTCTACAAAATGAGACTCTCCTATTGCTTGTTCCTTAGGTCATCTTTCTTTCCTCTACCTGTAGACCAAAACCTAATCTAAAGAAATATTTTACTTTGAAATTAGAGGTTGGAAATATCCAACATCTGAGAATGACATAATGGGCAGTGTCATCGAATTAAATAAATAACAAAAATAGGACCCTCACATAGCACGAAGCTGAGGGACAGAAAAGGGAATAAGTCAGGGGACATCATGTGAAGAATGCAGTCCAGTGCCTTCCTTTCCTAATCTGGTTACTTCACTGCATCTTAACAAGGACCCTGTTCATAATCCATAGCCTACCCAGACCAATACTCTCTCTAAATTAAGGGCTTGGTTCCCACTTGGGTAAAAGTCACAGGAAACTCCAGGCTGAGTGCCTCAAAGCAGGCAGAACCGCCAAGGTCAAGAGTGAATCAGTTACTCAAGGTCAAGAGTGAAATCAATGGCTTCTATGTAAGGGAAAGAGGTGAGGCTTGTTGAAACTTCCACTTGGATGCTATTTCTGGTAGAAGGGAAAGGAATTGTGGACTGGACATCAAAGAATTACGCTTTGATTAAAGTTTGGCTACAAACAGCATCAAGAGTAGAGTCCCCTAGTAGATCGTTGAACCTTCAGGTTATTTGCTACAGAGATTTCCTTTCAGAGTTGGTGAAATCTCCATTGTGTTAACCTGGAGAATGCTTAGCCAAGAAAAACTTCACTGAAAAGAGGTCCAAGAAATCTGT